AAGGCAAATACTCAGGACAACAACAAGTAAAACAACATCATTCTTTGATTCTTTTTTATTGATTAAAAATAACCAAGGCAAATACTCAGGACAACAACAAGTAAAACAACATCATTCTTTGATTCTTTTTTATTGATTAAAAATAACCAAGGCAAATACTCAGGACAACAACAAGTAAAACAACATTGTTCCTTGATTCTTTTTTATCGATTAAAAATAACCAAGTCAAATACTCAGGACAATTATTAACAACAACAAGTAAAACAACATCATTCTTTGATTGTTTTTAAGTATTTAATTTTTAGACTGTTTCATATTACTTAGATTAACCCACAATGTATTAACTAAACTGAAATGTCACTTGGAATCTAATTCCTCAAGAATCATTTCTTCTAACCTAAAAGATATCAACAGAACAAAGAAATTATTTAAGAATAAAGAACAATAAGAACTCCTGAACCCCCAAAAGTAAACTTGTTATACGCATTGACACCCAAGTTTTCACATGTATTTTTAATGTATTCTTCTGATACAGTACAATGTATCGCCCACAAATTCAAGATTTATATACTAAAAGACAAGTCTAGTGCTTATTCATACCTGAACACCAAACGTTGTTTCTGTGTGATGACGTCGTAACAATGCCCATTCCGACTGTTGTCCCTGTAATAAATTCAGAGCCATTGCCATTTCTCCGCACGTAATATCTGCTCCTAGTTCTTTACAGATTCTGCGAAAAGGGAGATTTCCAACCTAGTGAGAAGAAAATTCTCAGAATAAAAAAACACGTGTGGTTTGTTATGAATTTCATGGAAAGCTACACGAGAGCTATCTGTGCTAGCAATCGCTAATTTAGCAGTGTAAGACTAGAGGGAAGGCAGCTAGTCATCACCACCCACTGCCAACTCTTGGGCTACTCTTTTACCAACAAATAGTGGGATTGACCGTCACATTATAACGCCCCCACGACTGAAAGGGCGAGCATGTTTGGTTTGACGAGGATTCGAACTCGCAACCCGCAAATTGTGAGTCGAGCGCCCTAACCACCTGGGCATGCTGGGTCGAAAACACGTGTGAAAAATATATATATTATTTCTGTGAAACATTATTGGAGACGAAACCCGAATAAGAATTATGCAAGTCACACTATATTTGAAGAAAATGTATTACAAATACTTTTAAGTATAACTAAAAAAAAACCTACAATGACATGAACTTGTGATGTGGTTAATCTTTATAAATACTTTTTTAATACATATTTTATACTTAACTCTTTAAAATAAGGAGATGCAGACAGGAAATGTAGAAAAAAATTCTACTTAACCAACGAAAAAGCTTTTAACCCTTTCACTGCTCAATTAATTTTCCGGCTGATTCCCAAAAAATGTCAATTATCCACCGGAAAAATACCTGTGTATTACTTTTTTAATATTGAACAAAGCTGTATTTTCTATATCTGACGGTAATATTCCTTGAAAACTGTATCAGATAGTGAAAAATAATGATTTAAACAATTGAGGAAATTTAGAAGAAAAGTGTTCGCCAGTAAATGTCATAAATATAGGTGAAACTAAGTTAGTAATCATTACAAAATATAAAACAAATTATTTAGATAACAATATAGATTCTGTATGTGTTTTGGGCAGTTTTGTAACGAGCCATATAAGTATCCAGGTTTCACGGTGTAGAACACAGATGGCAGCAGCACGCATACAGGTTTGGCAATTGTTTCAAGTACAGGATCCCGATATTCCTGCACGTTGCAGCAGAGGGAAACCTTTTTTGGTAGCCGTGGAGTGAATCCGTATCTCGCCATCAGAGTGTATAAATGTCTCTACGGATATATCTAAACTATGCAGCAAAAGGGTTAATAATTAATACTGTTATGGAATATGTATTATAAAACTGCTACTCATGGATGAAGATAAATACAGGGACAGAAATAATGAAATAAAATTACGTTCACTCCAGGGAAAGCTATCAGGATGATTACATTCTCTCTTGTAAAGTTCAATTTCTTCATGAACCGTTTTTTTATTTAATCCATGCAATATGTTTACTTTCATTGGTCATAACCAAAGGAATATGGATGGACAATGACTTCGTGATCGGGAAAGCCAACTAAAAAGATTAAATTCCTCGGGAATGCAGGAAGGTAATATTTCGATCCCTCAAATATATATACATATATTAGTAAGAAAAGCTATCATTTCTTACTGTTACGTGCTAATTTATCTATGAAATATAACCCTACTTATGGAGAAACTTAACTGTGTTCAACTCATGTGCAAACATGAGTGTAATGAACAATGCTTAAGCCATTAAAAGTGTTTATATCAATACCATAATCAATTTAAACCTATTTACTTTCATAGGCATTTTTTATCAATAAGAACATATGCCTGAAAAATTACTCTTGTATTACAGTGTTTTCTGATATCAGTACCAGTGTTACAAACTAATAGTGATGGTTACAGTAAGCTGGATCACTGATACTAGCATCAGCAAGTCTTTTCTTACAGAAAACTCCACATTCAATAAACCTTTACGTACGACCACTTACTAATTTACGCACAAAAGTCAGCTAATCCATGCTCCATCTCGTTCATAACAGTTACTCTGAAGTAAACAATGTACAAACACCAAATGGATAACAATTATATCAGTCCTATCAATACTTTATTTTCATAGAGATCACTTAGCAGTAAACAATGTACAAACACCAAATGGATAACAATTATATCAGTCCTAACAATACTCTATTTTCATAGAGATCACTTAGCAAAAAGTATTTATATTAGCATTTATCGAGTAGAATATTAACCTCAATTAAACACTACAGCACTAAGTGAGAATTTATGAAAAATGCTCTTGAAAAATCAAAAACATTTATAAAATATGCAAGAGTCAAAATTGAGTTTTTGCTAATTTTCTAAATGTCATAATCAAAATATAGTCATACTTCGATGACGAGGAACCCACTTTGAGACTAATAATGGCTGGAGACGGCTTAAATG